ACTGAAAGGATTTGGTATTTAACGCGACAGCCAGCGGTCGGAAAAGCTTTGAGGCGTCTCTCTCACGCGAGCACAATCCAGTTCCCATTCCGTTCCGGAAACGCAATCAAATCCCAAATAATACACAGCTATGTACATTTCAGGGAGTAAATATACTTACATGCGCAGACGACGTACACAATCCTGCAAACGTCCCTGCGAGAGGCCACATGCAGATAGAAAACACAGCGCTGGTGAATGACAATGAAATATGGCGCGTGGCTGCGAGTGAGTTTTTGACGCTCTCTGATGACGTAGCTAGCATTTCGCAAGAAACCGCAATGTGATCCTAAAAGCACGATCGGGTTTTTGAAATATGAAATCTCTGGAAATCGCCAAAATATTCTATAATTTCTCAAAACAGATGTTCAAGCAATGCAGACTAATGGATAAATAGAAAAATATCAGAATTTTCGTGTCAAAATATTTTTTAAACGCGGTTGCAATTATTAGCTAATGACGTGTAACTGTTAAATCTTGCAATTATTTCACTGTACATTGCTGTTCTTGTTGTGGTCAAAATGTAATAGTTTTGCAGCACTGCAACAGTTACATGGTTTTATGATAAAGACACAGTATGACATAATGTTCAGATGTCAGACAAGACTGCAAATTTGACTTTGTATTAAACTTGATATTTATGTATTTATTAAACTAGTTCAACTTGGAGTGAGGTGATTCATATATTTTTTTGTATTACGAATTATAAATATATATACACACACATACATGTATATAACCCCCCCTCCCGAAACCGCTGTGGGAATTCTCACTCCAAGTTGAACTAGTTTAATAAATACATAAATATCAAGTTTAAAATCATACAAAGTCAAATTTGGCCGGTTATGAATAATATAATAAACTTAGTAAGTGACCAAAAGATTAAACCAACTAAATATCTGAATACATTTGATTTAAATAAAAAAAAATGGATTTAAATAATTTATATACAAACCCGATTCCAAAAAAGTTGGGACACTGTACAAATTGTGAATAAAAACAGAATGCAATGATGTGGAAGTTTCAAATTTCAATATTTTATTCAGAATACAACATAGATGACATATCAAATGTTTAAACTGAGAAAATGTATCATTTTAAGGGAAAAATAAGTTGATTTTAAATTTCATGGCATCAACACATCTCAAAAAAGTTGGGACAAGGCCATGTTTACCACTGTGTGGCATCCCCTCTTCTTTTTATAACAGTCTGCAAACATCTGGGGACTGAGGAGACAAGTTGCTCAAGTTTAAGAATAGGAATGTTGTCCCATTCTTGTCTAATACAGGCTTCTCTAAACAAAAAATCAATTTGAAATCAATTTGAATAAATAGATATGATTTGATTTTGAAATAAAAAAAAGTTTGAATAAACTAAAAAATAAACAAAAATGATTAAAATAAGTAAATGAGATACAATTAGAAGTTCAAATAACTACATACATTTATATAATAAATAAATAAAACTAGTGAGTAGGAAATAAAACACACAATGATGAATTTTTCCATAGTATTAATTGGGTTTTTATAAATGAGTCTATATATAGCTGCCTTTTGAATAGGATGCTGTCCATTGCTGAAGAACAATCATATTTGGGGGTTCATGTCATCTAAATGATTAAAAACCCCTGCTCTGGAGGTGTTTATCCTGACTGACTTCTGTCTGATTTGGTGAGCAACCCTAACCAGACATTTATAAAGGTGTACATGACAGACTCGGTTACTACTTAATAGACTGGTACAGCAGGTTTCGGTGGCAGGTTGAACTTCCTCAGCTGGCAAAGTCAGTACAACCCGTACTAGGCCTGACGCTCATGCTGCTGCTGAAGTGACACAAGCCGGCTTGGGTTTCAGGCCCCATTTGTTCTTTAATTGTTAAGTGCCTGATAAAATCACCAGGGTGAAGGTCAGTGACATGACCCACAGAGAGCAACACTACTGTTACTAATCCCATTCGCAATTTATACGGCTCCTAAATTATTTACGCGTTGGCACCTTGTGCTCACATCTTTTTGATGTACTTGGATTATTCCCCTCCACCTCTGAAAACATCGGTCACTGGTTCAGAAAGGCCTTATCTCACTGAGAGGCCATTAAAAGGTCAAAAAATGTAACACAGACAGAACCATTGAGTCAATAAATCAATTTATTTAAAAGAATATGTTACATTTTATTATAATGTTGTGACCAAACATTTTGCTTTTACATTAAGTCTTCAACTTGAGATTTCGATTTCAAAACCTCCTCCAGGTATTCTGTTTGTCTTGCTTTTTTTTTTGTTTCATTTGCAGTATGTGCCCTACATTGCTTATTTCGGTTTAAACTACACCTCGGAGTCATTTTGTAAATGTATTTGTGCCTTATTTTTTTGAAAAGGTTACTCAAAAACTCACACCGCTGAAAATACTGTACACAGAGATATTTCTGTTTGAGTTTCATATTCAAATAAATTAAAGTATCAATCAATAGAGAAAGACAACCAGAGCAAACGAACGGAGAGAATGAAGGAGTAAAGAATGAGAGAGGGGGAGAGATACAGACAAAGGTAAAAGTCTCATCTTAAAGTCTATGACAGGCCATCTGACAAGAAAGAAGAGATTTGAACCGTATGCTTACGCAGAGACTTTGCATGAATTTGTGAAATCCTATGATAACCAGCATAACTTTTATATAAGACAGCTGTGGTAATCCAACACAATCAAATCCGCTGATCGTTCTATTCATAATCGCCCGCTCACTCAGTTTGTCTATTAAAGGAATATTCCAGGTTTAGTACAAGTTATATATATAACAAGAAAAAAAAGGTTATGTGGGGTCAATTTTGTGAGGATTTAAAAGCAAAAATATGAAACTTATTTTATATATTTAAAAAAACATTGTGGTAAAACTTGTGTTATTTGAACTGAAAAGTTCAGTCATTTTAGAGTTTAAAAGTTGTCATTGCTAAGAAATAACTGAATTCCCCCCCCCCCCCTATAATTTGTCAATTAATATACTGTTTGTGTCTGTACTATTAAAACTCTGTTTACTGTACCTCACTGTATCCCATTTTTTTTTGCAATGCTTTTGCTTTATGGCAAAAGTGCTGTCAGTTGAGTTCATCTTGTATTAAAACCAAAATATCCCTTTAAAGTCAATGAATTTGATGACAAAGAAACATAATGAAACAGTACATGAAAGAAATAGCATCTCATTCTTTACACACATCACACACGCGTCATTTAAAAAGTGCAAAACATTTCATGACTGGTCTGGAGTGACAGGTTTGTATGCGCCTGCGCTACAAAAAGTAACACTGAAGAAAAAGTCAAACGGATGTAACACACTCACACGTGGTTTGATGGAGACGGCTTCCTGTGCGGTCAGAGCCACCTACTGCAGGATGAAGACATGGCATCCTAAAACTCATAAACCAAGCAGCCCAATATGGATGCATAACTAACACTGCTGGTTTTCCAATTCAGTGCTTCACATTTATAACATACTGTTAATACAACTCAAGTCATATATGAGCAGAGCGAACCCCCACATAGCACTGGCACAGATGATCAGTGGGCAGGTGTTCTACAGCCATGGCCAGACCCACACAGAATCTCTGCAGATTCACAAGTTCATCATATTCCTCGTCCCTTGTTCAATGTGTTCAATTTAAACATCATACAAACAATGTCTAGTTTGATCAATAGCTACTAATAAAATTACTCTCAGCTGTGTTTGGGTCTTTGACATGCAAGAGCGCCTATTAAAAAAAGATTTAAATTTTTATATTCATGTTGGTTTCATATGGTGGCTCTCAAGCAGGGGTCTGGGGCCCACTAACATGGCCTCAGAATGACTTAAAATAATTCCAATTATAGTTCTATTAAAATAATCTAACTTAATTAAAATGCTTAAAATAAAAATAATAAAATGAACATTTCCTTTTTCCCTCAGCAACGATTGTTGAATTCTTTTAATTTTTTTGGAATCACAAAAATAATTGTGGCTAATTCCTTTAATATACTGACACTCCCAGTAAATAAAACAGTTTGAAAACAAGCAGCTTTGGAATAACTACAGCAAAAAAAAAAATATATATATATGAAAAGCAACATAAAAATACTAGTAATACTAGTAAAACTAATACTAGGGGCTTTTAAATACTGTGTCGGAAAAGCAAAAATGTTGAGAACCACTGAAAAAAAACTTTTTTTTTTTTTTTTTTTAAAGTTTTAAATACATCTTTCAAGATGAAAAGGTTTGCTTTTACAAATATTATGAAGTAATATGGAACGAATGATTTGGAACCTAAATTAATCCCCAAAAATATTTTATATCAGAAATTAAAAACATTATTCTTAAGATCGATTGCCTCTGATAGCCTCGTGGGCAGCGTGCCGACATATAGCGCCATTGCTCCTCGGACGTCCCGAGTTCGTCCCCCCGCTCGTGGACCTTTCCCGATCCCGCCCCCGTCTCTCTGTCCCACTTCACTTCCTGTCTAGCTACTGTCCTTTCAAAATAAAGGCATAAAACGCCAAAAATAAATCAAGAGGTGTATTTATATCTGTATATATGAATGTTTTTTAATGCATTTTGAATAAATAATTGATTTTTAAAAAGAGCATCACATCATTGACCGATTTAACACATTTTACCAGCAGAAATTTCCAATAAAATCAGCACAAAAATTCCATCTGGGCCTGGCGATGGCTAACGCAATCAAATACTGCTTTGGAGAATAAAAGACAGATGAGCGCACAAAAAAATATTAAATTAAGAACCTCAGTTCAGCTAAAGGGCTGAAAATCTGTACAAACTTACTACCAACACAGTGGCAATAGTGAGGTAAGAGACAAATTAGTGTGGAAAAGCATGGAAAGTATTGATCTGTCTCTCTTGCCCTTGTTTCTAGACTCGTTTTCTCTTTCCCTCTCTCACTCTGATTGTCCAAGTGGAAAATGTAGTAATGGTTTTTGCTTCTTTTTTTTTATAGATACATTCTGAGAGAGCATCGCTGCCCTCACAGGTGCATGTGTTAGTGTCAGGATGATGCATTAGTCAGACCGCCAACGTTTCCATGTCTTTAAATTGCACAGTTCAGTCTCTCAGTTGTCTGCATCTGACCAGTCACATGACATGAATTAGTCACAATGCTGGTGCCATGTCAACGACCAGGGCGCGTTCATCAGACATCACTTCACCACGTCTGTCTCCTGGAGCATTATAGTCTTTCGTTGTCGTCTCTCCCGTCCCGAGCTGGCGGTCAGTACGTCCAACATAAATCTGTCCAGTCCAGTGAAATGATGGCGTAAGTCTCTAAAAAGTCATTTGTAGTTGTACTGTGTTTGTGTAATTTCCTGCTTCATATCTTCTTATTTCAGTAAGTGTGTATCAGTAGTGGATAAGCATATGGAACTGGTCTGAAATGTTTTCTGAGTCTCTGTATGCAGCTTTTAGTGTACGTGTGCATGTATTTGAGAATTCAAGAGGAGATGATCTCTTCATTCATGTGCCTCCATCCCTTCTGCGTCTCAACAGTTGGAAGATATTCTGTGAAAGAGAGATGGGTTTCAGAGCACAGACATTAATGTCCACAGTACAAGATGGAGGCAGGCAGAGCCTTACCTTACCACACATACCATCTTTACTGCAGTTCTTATTGTCCTTGTCCGTGGCCTCCTCTTCAACCTGAAAAACATATCAATCAATAAGAGCGAGCAGACTCTCACTCAGAACTGAAGTCAACCCTCTACATTGCGAGTAAATCACTCGCATATGCGACTAAATCTTACTCTGGGCGACTAAATGTCTAACATTAGCCATTGGCTAATAAATTCTTAGATTTTACACGCCAGTATGTGTGTGAGAGGCGTTCAACACATTTTCACTTGATAAACACGTGGACTGAGCGCTTGAGAGTTTTGCTCTCCGTCAAGCGATCTGTGCTATTCGGATGCGCTCAATGGATCATGTCATGTACTCAATGGATGCGCAGTATGTAGCACGCAGCGCACCTGAATTTGACGTACCGTAAACTAGTGTGAAGGCGCACAACTCGCCGTCGCTTTACTGATAGCGCTGTGTTTCTCACACATGCAAAGAGAGAGAGAGCGAGAATCTTGCATACCACGCTGAATCGACATGCTACATGTAAACCATATTCTTTGTTGTATTTTCCTGTCAAAATAACAGAGTTCATTTAGAATTATTCAGCTTTTAAGAACAAGCAGAAGATACGCCGGTTTCTCGGCAGTGGGCGGAGCTAATGCGCGAACAGCTCTCGTTGGCTGGCGCTCATCTATTACCGTCCCTGTTTTGATTTCAGCAAATCAGTTCGAGCAAACGCTGACAACATGATTAATATTCATGAACCCAGCAGATAATAATAGTATATATTAATAATAATAATTACTATTACCTATGACCAACAATATCTTAAACACCACCACCAGTCCTAAGTTAAATTAAAATGACATATGCATTCATTCATGGTTACCAAGTTTTAGTTCTAATCACTAGTTCTATCATTAAATGGTGCTTAATTATCATAATATAATGCTTGATTGGCTGAAGTTAAGAGTGCACATTCAGTTATTTAAGAAGCTGTTCCATTTTACAAAGATAAGCTTAAAGAAAGGTGCCGCTATGCTGAGTGGGTGGAATCATGCGGGTGTGTGTGTGTGTGTGTGTGTGTGTGTGTGTACTTAACCACATTTTGGGGACAAATTTGTACCCAAAAGTGAGCAAAACCTGACAAAATCGGCAAAAACCTAAATTTGTGGATGTCCTCATTTGTAAAACTGTTATAAAAATAAATCAAACAGTTTTTTTGACTTTTAACATGTTTTAAATGCAGAAAGTTTTCTGTGAGGGGTAGGGGTGGGTTTAGGTTAAAAAGTGTATAACTATCTGTATATAAAAACAATAGAAGTCTATGTAATGTCCCCATTTAGATAGCCAAGTAAACGTGTGTGTGTGTGTGTGTGTGTGTGTGTGTAAAATAGTATATCAGTCTGGCGAGTAAACAAAAAAATGTACTAGCCAATGGCGATTATATTGCGAAGGTGTGCGTAGAGGGTTGGAAGTACCCACCTCTTTTCTCCATTTGAGCTCACAGAAGACTCTCTCGAAGCACTCGTGCATGTAGTTGAACTGGAAAGGGAAAGGCATTTTTAGTGCCAGGGCTCAATGTGTTTAAAAATGTCCAATTATGAATGTTTAAAATGGCAAGGCTTAAAATATATGTGTGACACTGGACCACAAAACCAGTCATAAGGGTCAATTTTTTGAAATTGAGATTTATATGTATAAATAAGCTTTCCATTGATGTATGGTTTATGATAGGACCATATTTGGCAGAGATACAACTATTTGAAAATCTGGAATATGAGGGTGCAAAAAAATCTAAATATGAAGAAAATTGCCTTTAAAGTTGTCCAAATGAAGTTCTTAGCAACGCATATTACTAATCATTAATCAACAATGAAGTTGTGGTTATATTTACGGTAGGACATTTACTAAGTATCTTGATGGAACATGATCTTTACTTACCGTAATATCCTAATGATTTGTGGCACAAAAGAAAAATCGAAAAATTTTGACCCATACAATGTATTGTTGGCTATTGCTACAAATACACCCGCGCCACTTATGACTGGTTTTATAGTCCAGGGTCACATATGCCAATGACAAACTTTCATGGTAACAGAGTCTTGTGCATGATGCAAGATCACATGGATGTATGGGACTCACATATGGAGTGAAGATTTTGACCCAGCGAGGTTTCTTCTCTCCTCGCGCATACTCGAAACAGAAAGCCATTCCCTCTTCATCCGTGTCCCATCTCTGCATCTCGGACCACTCAAAAGCTATCACCTGATTCTGTAATGACAGATCATTTAGAAGTCTTCTGAACTGTTTTTCTAATTTATAAAATCAATCAACAACTTTTTACTCTGTCGGCGCGAACACATTCACCTCTAGAGCGCCATCCTCTGTGCACGCATGGAGTTTAAAGTGGCGGATGCTTATCGCAGTGACCACGTGACCTTTCCTACGCGAGTCACAGGAGCAGTGCGGGAAAGTGATCTCATTGTAGCCCTCACAAGTCCTCAGAATACTTAAATACTGGAGAGGAAGAAGGAAACTATTGCATTAAGATTCTATCACTTTTCGGTTAGGGATGTACTGCACGATATGTTATGATGATATCCAAGACATTTTATTAATACAGTACTGTTCAAAAGTTTGGGGTTGGTGAGATATTTTAATATTTTTGAAAAAAGACTCACCAAGATTCTTTAAAACAAAAAAATACAGTAAAACCAGCATTACTGTCAAAAATTATTACCATTTAAAATAACAGTTTTGTATATTAATATATTGAAAAATTTACTTTATTCCTGTGATACAAAGCTGAATTTTCAGCAGCCATTACTCCAGTTTTCAATTTTACGTGATGCTTCAGAAATCATTCTAATATGCTGACTTAACATTTCTTATCATTATGAATGTTAAAGTTGTGTTGTTTAATATTTTTGTGGAAACCATGTTCAAAAGAACAGAATTTATTTGAATTAGAAATACTTTCTGTATTACTGTCACTTTAAATCAATTTAATGCATCCATGATTAATCAAAATATTAATTAAAAAAATCCCATATTTTGAAGGGTAGTATGTGGGCAGTATTAAAATTATACACTATATGTATAATTGTATACACTATATTATACACTAAATGTATTAAGAGAGCGCTAGATGACAAAAGCAATTAAAATGGAAACACGCATTTTTAAAATTCAGTCATTTACTCACTTTAATGTAATGCCAAATCCATACAATGTTATTTTTTTCAATGGAACCAGGGAAGTAGTCCACATGACCACTCATGGTCTGTATTTAAAGTTTTCTGAATCCAACAGATTTGTGTGATAAACAGACCATAATTTAAGTTAACATTCACTCTTAAATCAGATGTTCCAATCAAACTTCATGATGTCAAATCTGTGATATCTGATATTTGATTTGAGAGCTGGAAAGGATTCCATGACTCAAAACTTTTTTTTTTGTGTTCCACAGAAAACATAACAGTGCACAGGTGTGGAATGACACGATGTTAATTAAATAATGATTTAATTTTCTTTCTTTTTTTAACCCCCAGACCCCCACTACTTCCTATAACTGTGAAACTGCATTGTTTGTTGACTGACCATTGTCATTTTCCTCTGTTCGGTGAGCTTTTGGAGCTGGTAGGATTTCTCTCCCACTTTGATGAATCCCTTTTTCACATCATCCAGAGCCTGAGAAAGGACACAAGTAAACATACAGCAGTTACAGATTAAAAGCACACTGCCACAAGTAGGCATGGGTCGGTATGAGATTTTGACGGTATGATAACCTTAAGCAAAAATATCACGGTTTCACAGTATTGTTGTTACAGCTCTAAAATATCTGGGTTAAAAAAAAACAAAAAAAAAACGAACAATATATTTTGAGCAACATACAGAATATTTGGAACAGTAGTATTTGTTTATTTTTCTTTGATTTGTTTCTGAAATGTGGGCTGTCCTGCAGCTTTTGATGTGGATGGTTGATTTGCTGCTAGAGTTACTGCTGCCCTAAAAAGAAGAAAAATAAAGACTGACATCTTTATTTAACCTAAATCTGTAATTACAGTTATTTAATTTTAGTTATATAATTCATATACATATAAATTTATATAATTTCATATAATTTATTTATATAATTTCATATACATAATTTGATTTAATAATAACCCAATTTGAAGCAAAAACAGAATGTTCTGACTAGCTTTGTGAAATTATACTACATGCCTGAACGAAACAAACAGCAGAAGCTCTGAATGAGACGCAGATTCACTCTCTGATAGCAGGAGGCGCTGATACAGTGTTTACTTGGTTATCGCAGTAAACAAAGCAGAGCTGTGCTGAAACACTGCTTTAATGTGAATTATTCGAGATGAAAAGAAAATACCATCTAAACGTTTCTGAAGACAGTCAGTTCCCCTCAGAAACACATTCATATAAACCCCCAAATCAATATTAAGGATTTCCTTCCAACAGTTCTTGCATCATGAACAGTGAGTGATCTGCCTGCTACAGTATTTTTCTCTGTGTGTCCGTCTTCAGCGTCTCTGGCCTCTGTTAACGAGCGTTTACAGACTTCATATTTTCACATAAATGACATTTGGAAAATGATATCCATTGCAACGCAGTTTGTGCAAGTCCAGAACAGAGATCAGCTGCAATAAAACAATAAACGGCCGGTTGCCGATCGCGTAAGTTGCAGAGGAAGCTCCTTCGGCCGTCCTACACACAAGTGACTGACCGCTCACTCGCACCAACAGGAGGAGGGTCGTGTTACTCTCTACACTGCACTCAACCCGAGGGATTCCTACACTTTGTCTTTGAGGAGACATGAAAAACAGCAAATACCGCAGGAACGGTATAATGGAAAATATTAGCGGTTTTGAAACCGTGACATTTTCAAATCGCGGTATACCTTGAAACCAGTAATCGGCCCATGCCTAGCCACAAGCATACATTTGCTTGAAAACACACACAGTGCAGACCTGATGAAAGCAATAGTTGATGGCCAGCTCATTATCATTGAGTAGAATCTCTTCTTCTGTGGTGAAGAGCCACTTGCGAAGCGTGAGGCAGGTGCCTGGGACGGCAGACGTATAGTTCTGCACATACAGCTTATGTGGAAACTCATTAGGGGCCAGCTTGCGTGCTAAGAGATCGAGAGATATAGACGTCAATAAGCAGCAAGAAATGGGGACAGAGAGGGCAAAGTGTAAAAGATGAGGAGTCAGAGTATTTATAGAATGACTTTGTTGTGTACTTCATTAATCATTATATGTCACTTTATATCATGAATATTATAGATTTAGATTTAATAGATAGATACTATATATCGTAAGGAAAATTAATACTTTTTTCAGCGAGGAGGTGCATTAAATATCACAGTAAAGACATTTACATGCTTTCAAAAGATTTATATTTCAAATAAATGCTGTTCGTTAGAAGTTTTTATTCAAATAACCCTGAAAAAAATGTATTACGGTTTTCACAACAAATATTAAACAAAAACATCTATTTTCAACATGGATAAAAATAATATGTTTCTTCAATTCCAGACATTGAAGACTGGAGTAACGGCTGATGAAAACGGAGCTTTGCTATAACATTAAATAAAAACAAACAGAGAAGTAAATGAACAAACATCATGTGTGATTATGTACATATGTTCACTTCCAGTCAAAAGTTTTTGAACAATAAGATTTTAAATGTTTTAAAAAAAAATTATCTTCTGCTCACCAAGCCTGCATTCATTTGATCCAAAGTACAGCAAAAGCAGCAAATCATAATATTACAATGAATTCTGAATAGGGATGTTCATTTTAACCGGTTAACCGACCGTAAGAATTTTTGACCGATTAATACAATCAGTTAAATGGTTTAAAAGGTCATTTATTTATTTCTTTTTTTCAGTAATTTTAAAAGGTTTGCTGCATGGTTAAAATACGCCACGCGTATATAAGTATTCTTTTTAGAGCGAGAAAAAAAACAAAAAAAACTCAAGTCGAGTATAAGTCACATTCAGAAATAGGCCTAATGCTGACGCAAAATGTTTACAAACATTATAATAAACACTGTAAACATAGCTAGGCTATTTTAGTTCCCCTCACTCCACAACAAATCCTTTCAATTAACAGTATTTAGAAAAGAACAAGAATTAAAAATATAAGAAGCTATAGCAATCTAAACAACAAGCCAAAACGAATTCTTTTAGGCTAAAATGAAACTGAAACCAACATTGGGTCTCTCATTTGCCACAAAATCAAATGTTTCTGTATTCGCGATTTGAATGCCAAGATATAATTTATATGTAGCCTAGCCTACTTCACTGGCGTTCCAATATCCACATAAAACAAAATGTTTTGCATAACATCATGGCGGTACGGTGATGGCGCTTAATGGCACAGACTTTACTACATATTTGAACTGAGCAGTGTGTTTTTTTCCATATGTTGACTGACTGTATTTTATTATGAGAATGAACAGGCTGCATTGTCAAGGCAGCAATGTTTAACTGTGAGCGCGCATGCGGCGCGGGCGCAATCACTTGAATTTTTTTCTTCTAACAGTGGAAGAAACTACTCCTTTTAGTCATAAAGCTTAACAGAATTGTAAAAGGTTTGCTTTTATTTATGTACATTCACAATAAAAACAAATCTTTGTGCTTTTGTAAAATAAGCCTAAAGAAAAATAGAATGCCGCTTTCTGCCATCTGGTTTCCTTTCGCGCAGCACAAAAATGAACTGCGACTCTGCATATAGGCTACTTGTTGCACAGTTTTTCTTTCGTTTTCTGAATTTATTATTTAAGTAAAAATATATTTCTCGTATAGGCCAATTTATTATTATATTAATATATATATATATATATATATATATATATATATATATATATATATATATTCTCTCTTTATAAAGAGCATGTGTGT